GAGACAACTGTATTTTAACCTGTGTTAAAATATTTATTGTATGTGTGAAATCACATATAAATTCTAGGTTGTTATAATAGTGTTGATTAAATGCTAGAGTGTAAAAAAAACCATGAAATATTTGAATATCAAAACAATTAACAATATTTTTCAACACAGAAGATTTCTCTGGCCTCACTAAGATGTAAGAAATGTGTAACACTGTCACACAATATTAAGTTATTTGAATTTTATATCAACTAGGAGTTTTATGAAGACTGAATGTTTTTCATCCAAATGCTAAGTTTAACATTAGTAACAAACTTTATTGTGTAATGTGTCATCTCACATAGAATGTTTTATCCTCCAGCAATTATGGGAGCCATCCAAACACAAAAGGATAAAAGTGTTATAAATTTTTATGTGCAGACTAATTTAGATCCATGTAGGCAGTAAGAAACTCAGAAACCTGTGGCAAGGACATTTTGTAATTAAAGCTTGTATTTATTACAGAACACTAAAATAAACATATGTGTCAGTTTATTTCAGTGATTCTGTGCAAAGATTCAAAGTATAGATTTAAAAATGACTCATTGGTTTTAGCATGTAATATTTTCTTGGCTTTAAATTCAGTAGTATGAAAGTTAACAAGCTTTTCTTAGCAGGAAAATATAAATTGTCTAATAGGAAAGCCGCTTTAAAACATAGTTTTACTACGAGTGCAGTTTGATCAGTCAAAGATAAGTGTCTTTAAATATGGATTTCTGAAATTGTCTAGTTTAAAGCAGTGCAGGTTAAATATGATAGTTTTTTACCTAAGGTCTGCTAGAATTTTCGGCACGGCTAGAAAGATAGAAATATGAAATAAAAGTGGCCTTTATTCTAAGAACACGGATAGAACCCCACGACCACTGGGGTCTGGCTTTCTCTGCCAAATACGTGGTATGGGGGGCATAGATGTACCTTAGGTTTGGGGTGGTGCCATAGGCTCATTACTAATGACAAGTAGCCCACTGGGATTCATTTTGCCCCACAGGTAAAATGCCTGCCGGTGGGAAAGATGACCTCAAGGTAAAGCCCCTTGGTTCTGCCTCCCAGCCTCCCACCGCTGCAGCATCCCATCAGGGCAAAACGTTTCAGTCTAAATCTGTGCTTTTGGTAACAATAGAACAGATAAAAGATGAATTAGATGACCTACTAATCAAACTGAATTTCATCAGATTCCTTTGCACAGATATCTGATTTTATTGGTATGAAGACTGGATTGGTCCCATCATCTATTTTCATTTAGTTTTTAAAGACCATTACTTTTTAACTAAGAACTTTTGAGTGAAGCTCTGAATATAAATATTTCCCTACTTGTTATGTTAACTGTGCAAAGTATTGCTCAATTATCTTTCTTTTTCTGAACATATCCACCTGAAAACTAGGTCATTGTTACTACTTTGGGTTCTATTTCTAGCATCTGTACCTTTCAGCACCTGATATAATAGAATTTAAGTCAAACAAATTAATCTGTTTAAGAAATAAAATAGTATACTCAGAAGGAATAAGAATAGGATTTTGCCAGTTTCATTAGTTTTAGTGCATTTGTCCAAAGATATAAATTTCTTGAAGTCTAATTTTTGAATTTGATGAATTTCAATATATACATATTTTTATTTTTTAAGAAATTGTTGAAATCATTAAATTTGTATTTTACATTAGTTTGAATTTAATATCTGTTCATACAATACCGTATATGTACTATGACGTGCTTGTACTATATTGGTGATAGAGTAGTAAGACAAATTTTCTATGTGGTTTTCTACAAACATTACAAAAAATGATTTAAAATATTCCTAAATAATTATGGAATTCAATATTCCTGAATTTGTCTGCATTTTAAACCTGAAATTCCTGATTCTCTTTTTTTAAGCTAAAACATTTCTAGAATTTCACCTACAAATCTTTCCTTTCTTAAAGATATCCTGATTTTTATATTAAATAAAGTGATCAAAATAAATATTAGAGATTTTAGAAATTTGTGAAGATTGAAAAATGTTAATATTGGAAGTGATTTGTTAGTTACCTGTTGACATCAAAATTTGTGAAATAGTAGTTTGGTAAAGCTTTAAAGATTAGGAACAGAAAATAAAATTACTAGTAATCTATTCTCCTTCTTTGTCTGGACAAAAATATATAAAACTAAGTTTCACTAAGTCAGATTTTGAATTTCTTTTTTACAGACCGAAACACACACATATATTAGTGACAACAGAACAGTAAGTCCCTGTTCCAAAAACAAACAAACAAACAAAAAGGAATTAAGAATATTGTTTGGTAAAATAATTCATAATTCAAGTTTAACCGTTAGAGAAACAGAAATCCATAATAATTTTATTAAGTTTTTTCAAATTAAAGTAAAGCAATACAGTTCAGTGGAAACGTGTTGGTAGAAGGTTTTAGTGAACAATAGGACTGCTCCTTATTTATGTGAAATATTACTGTGTTAGAGTGACTGAGCCTCATTCCCTTGGCTTCTTTCTCCCAAAGAAAGGAGGAAATTCACTTTTAGATTTGCCCCAACCAAGCTTGAGCCCTGCCTGGCACACCCATACCATGTACAGTTTGCACCTCAAACTGTAATGCACAAAAATGTGCAATAGCGATGTGTTTCATAGACCAAATGATACTTTTCAATCTCTTTCTGTCTCTCGCAGTGATGCTGCTCTGGTGTCATATTATCAATATTTGAGTATGTCAATTAATTCCTGTGTGGTCTCACCATTCAATAATGAAAAATAACTGTTTTGAATCCTGTCTTATAAAATTCCACTGTTTTGTTCTCAGTCACTGTCTTTATATGATACTTCATTGATAAAATGGAAACAGACATTTATCAGCTAATTCTTTAGGAACAAGAATGGTAATTTATGTAAATGGTTCTCATCTATACAGCATTGGATTTTACATCATTCTTATTTTAACTCTGTGTAGTCACGTACCCTTATGTTTTGTTTAAAATATTTGACTTTGAAATATTGATAATAGTAAGTATCTATGTTATTTAGTCTTATCTTTCAATTTTTAAAGAAATACATATATTTGAAGAGCACAGAGTGATGTTTTAACATGTACATATTACATGAAATGAGCAATTCAGAAAGAAAGCTTTTCACTTTTAAACACAGATAAACTATGAAATAGTAAGAAACAAAAAAAAAAAAATTCTTCTTTAACTTTGTCATGGTTCATGTTAGTGGCCTCTGAGCCTCATGCCATTTTGCGTTTGTGATTGGTTCATTGTCTAGCACTTGGATTGGTGGTGTGAGTGCTATACCCACCTAGGGGTGGAGCCAGGATTTGATAAATGGCAGGAAGGTGTCTGTCTCCCTTACCAGTTTCCACTTTGCTGTTTGCAGCTCCCATGAAGGGCTGCCATGAAGGGTATCTTCCCTATTGAAAGAGATTCATGCCCGATACACAGTCTTAAATACTGTATGGTATCTCTCTTCTTAGTGTGGCAAAATACAAATAGAGGAAATATAAAGGATGGATGGAATGGGCCAAGAGGTTGGATTTCTTCCAATTATGTTCTGATTAGCAGTGGAGGCAGCCTAAGTGCTTTTGTATTCCCTGTAATTGGAGTCCACTCTACTGTTAGGCTGCTACTTAAGCTTGCTAAATGTCAGTGACTCCCACCTCAACATGTGCTAGTGTATTCACTTGGCTGTAAAATCTTTCTCTAGAGCCCAAGATGGTTGGCTTTTATCTATCATCACTTTAAAGATCCTCTCCTACCACGGCCCTGCTTCTCCAGGTAATTAATAATAATTATACTTCACTTATACTTAAAATTACATTATTACTTATGACTCTGTTTATTAAAAGTTGGTTATTTGTTGTTTGTGTATATAATTAAATGTGAACTAGAAAGTAACTCATGTCATTTATAATTTTATTCTATTTTTAGGCATCTTCTTACCATGTTAAGCTCACAATTTGGGCTTGATGAGAAAGAAGGTAAGAAGACCAGGAGTACAGGAAAAGGATCAAGATATTAGAAGAAAAGAACAGCAAGAGAGAGAGAGAGAGAGAGAGAGAGAGAGAGAGAGAGAGAGAGAGAGAGAGAAGGAAATGAAATAATGTTTGTTTATCTAACAAATGAATAATTTCAAAGACATCTTTATATCAACTAATAATTTGTTTTGATACATAATAAACTGGTAAATTTTCTATACAGCACTTAAATAGCTGTATTCTTACCAATGTAGAATGACACCTTTAAATTGTGAATATTAAAAAATGAAACACTAAAAAATTAAAAAGCTAGAAAAATATATTATGATGTACATATATATTTTAGAATTATTGGATGATTAATAAATATTTAAAGTATTTTCAAAAGGTACTCGTATAATTTAAGCTGACCATTATGAAATCATATTTGTCTGATAGGGAAATAAACTATACTTCATATTGTGCTTTCAAGTTTTTTAACTACTAAATGAGAGGAAATCATTTTGCATAACTATGTTTTCCCCAATGCAATGACTGTTCAAATTTCAAAGGCACTTAAATTTTGTCTTATAGTAATCATTCTCTTCTATGTGCATTGTATTTCTAATATGAGTAATAATGACATTAGATTTAAAACAAAATCTGAAGTGTACATAGCTGCATAGAGGTGTTTATTCAGTTAGTTTCATTTTTTTTTGTCTTTACTGACAATCATTTTGATGGATATAATTGCTTAGGTTTTATAAATCAATTTTCTGTGTTTCATATGTATATTTTACATAACTTTATTGCACAAATAAAATTAATATTACTTTCAAGTTTGAAATAAAAATATAATAACATAGATATTAATATATACTTTACCAAATTTAAGTGCATAGCTGATTTTTTAAAAAGCGTATACTTAAAATGGAAGGAATCACATACAGATTAAAATACTTTACTTCCAATTATGTTCTCAACATTTGTAATCTATTGTCATTGCTAACATATATTTGATATAAATTAATCTGTAGTACCTTCTGGAGACATTTCAGGTACAACGGCTTCGTAAGGTCCATGTAGGAATTTTGGTTCATTGTCATTGATATCCAAAACTCTGATGACAAACTCAGACTCTGTTTCCACATTCTTTCCAACAGTGGTGTCTGTCACCTGGGCTCTCAGAGTGTAGAGGGATCGTTCTTCTCTATCGAGCTTCTGTTTGGCATAGATGTCACCTGTCTTTGGATCAATGTCAAAAATACTTCCAGCTCCAACTCCCAGAAGTCTGTACTGGAAAGAGTTATTTCCATTATCTAAATCGGACCTTATCTGCAAGGACAAAGAGGGACAATTGAGTTTCCAGATACACTATAAAGAATACATCAATTTTAATTAATTTATTTTCATGCATGTTAATCATTTTTTCAAGTCAATAATTCTATATAATCACTATAGTAGATTAAGTGAAGTAAAATATGAGCTTCAAAATTAAAAACTGTCATCAAGCAGAGGAGTCATCATTTCCAATGCACAAATAACTACAGAAATTTTAGTAGCCTAAATATAAGTAGATAATTCTAATAAAAATGTAATAACTGAAAAATGTGTTTTTTATAAGTTATGTTTCAAAATAACTGATTCAAGTTTGGTGATTTTGGAGAAATTATATTCTTACATGTTTATATTTTGGGACTTAGACACACTTAGTATAATAAAAAACTATTAAAAATATATCACCTAATTAATAACTTACTTAAGCAACGCTTTTCACTGTCTTAACTGAGAATATGTAGAATATATGGTAATAATAGGGGGAAATTAAGGAAAATAAATAGAAAATGATCTCAGCAATCCACTGGGTATTTATTACGTGGAACGATATTCAGAAGTTCTTTTATATTCATTCACTGAGGTACTTTCTACTGATGTAACCACAACACTGAGGTACTTTTTATTGATGTAATTAATCAGATCAGTAGTGAAAGAAAGGAAGACTGAAAAGTGTTTAAACATTTCCAGGATTATGTTTTGGTGTAGATTTATGATTAGACTACTTTACTTTTTTAATCCCAGATCCTTTCTAAGCACAATTATGTAACACAATGTTTAACCTTGGATTTTAATGCAAAATACAAACTCTTGCCTTCCAATACAACCTATTTAATTCTTAAATGTACATTTTGTGCTTCTGCTAATTTTTTTTTTCATTTTGTAGCAAGTAAATTTGTTCCTCTCTTTTGGGTAATGGATTATTTAGAATTTTAAATGTATATATAAAAATATAAATGTTATTTAGATACAGTAAATTGATTTTACTCTCACATATCGAATTTTCACACAAAGATCTCTCCCTTTTTAAAATAATGATGCCATCATTATTGCAGATGTACCTTATCCAGATTCATCATTCTTGAATATGCTCTTAAAGTAATAGCACCTTTGCACAAAGTTTACATGAAGTGGGATTTTAAACTCAGGGCTTTCCAATGGCTTGAGTTTTAATTCGTTATTTTAGACTAATATGCAAAAATTTTATGTGATTATGGAGAAAATCTACACATATCTATAACAATCAATTTAAAATCTTAATGTATTGAATATCAGTGTTATGTAATGAAACTAAAAATGAAAACAATTTGAAGAAACTAGTATCTAGATTGAATTTTGCTGTAGTTCATTTCATTTGGTAATCATGATTGTTTGTAAAGAGGAATATTCTATATTATGATTTCCAGAAATTGAGAAAATTTAATGCATATTCTAATTATTGTATTAAATGAAAAATGGCTATATTTTAATGATGTTATATGCATGTAATATGGTATGAAAATGTATTCAAAATTAAAATAAAGATGTTAATTTCATAATAAAGTTATTACAGATGTAATGTATAATTTTGAAAGTCAATCAGATTTTCAAATTTTGCTTTGATACTTTACTCTTAGAGTCACAAAACGCATGTTAGACACATTGTTGACAACAGTAAATATTGTGAAATTTATTACACTTCTCTTTAAAAGACATTTCGTCAATTAAAGTAGCATTAGCAATTTGGCAAGCCTAAAATTACATGAAATTTCACTTAATTGTACTTCCCCATTTTAACCAATTTTAACAAATATATTTAAATTAAGTATTCTTGGGCACAGAAGTTCCTTTTTATCTTTACTACCTCTTCAATTATTTACACCTAAGTATCCATTATAGTTCTTTTTTAAAACCAGTGGTCTGTATGGTATTTAAGCCATGTAAAATTGTTTAGAGGAAAAGATCTATTAAGGTATGTCCATAACTATCATTTTCTAGTTTTTGTTATTTTTGTAGTGGGAAGTTCACACTGAGCTACAGTATAACACCAGCCCTTTTTATTCTTGAGATAAAGCCCCACCAAGGACAGACTTGCCCCGGCTGGCCTTCTCCATCTTCCCGTCTTACTGGGATTGCAGAGCCCCACCACCACACCTGGCTTCTAAACATACATTCTATTGAAGGAAAAGGACAGGCAACATCAGTCACTCTTTGATAAAATGGAACTGGAGATAGAGAAATGAAAAATGAAAAGCAACTAGAAAACGTACCAACCATATAGGTGGCATTTATTCCTGTCACCTGGTACACTTCCCTGCACTATCTTATTGACTAGCTACTACTGCCTGTAACCCTGCTCAGTGACACTCTGTGAAACTCATTGCAAATGTACTTAGTGTGACTAAGAGTTATCTGTCAGAAACTAAACACATTTTTGTGATATGTGCACACTTTATTTACAGATACCTTACAAAATCACATGGGAGGAGAAACAGTGTTTGTAACAGGCATGCACATCTACCCAAACAAATGTTTTACAATCTGCCCAGGAGCTAGGTCTTGAGTCGAGTGTACTTGTATGTGTCTGGTTGACAGGATAAGTGAAATTCCATGGAATCTGGACATCATGCTAACTGCAGCAATCTTGAACATGCTAGAAAAAAACAGTTAATAAGTACTGAATACTTTGCCCTTTGGGCTCAATTTAATTTTAGTGCTAGTTAATTAGTGGTTAAACTTATTTCCGTTTAGTCATCTAAAGAAAGAGCCTTTTGGTAATGGAAGAAAAGATACGATATTGTAATTACCTGTGTTTAAAGAAAATCAAGTAATTATGTAAAACAAACACATAAATGGGCATTCTGTCTCATTAAGAAACCATTCCTGAAATATGTTCCTTTGAAAGTGAGAATAATTATTCTTTATACTTCAACCTCTCTAATCACATGAAATTATGTAGGCTCTGGAAGCTCCTTGGCTGCAAAAGGATATAGTATGCACTTGCTTCTTTAATAATGAATGAAGGGTTGATCAACAGCTACTTAACAGAAAATCAGGCTAAGAATTGTTGGCAAATCATATTTGAATCCATATGGCTTTGACCAATTATCAAAAACAACATCATTAAATTTTCAGAAGCAGATAAATGGATATAGCATTTTCATAAAGGATAATACATTGAAATGCAAAAACCAGAAATTTCTCTCTTCCTCTTGATTTTAGTGAACATTTTGTGTATTCCCAATTCTGAAAATTTAGATTTGCACTTGAGTTTCACTGAGGAATAAAAAAAAGAAAGAAAGAAAGAACTCTTTAAACACTAAAACTTCCCTGACTCATTTATGTGATGTTGTTATGGTGTTCGTTGGTAAACACTTTCAGAAAATAAATACCCGTCCAATGAGATGGTTAGTTGTGTTCATTTCCTCTGGTACAAAAAATTGGTTCCACACCCAGCCACGCTTCACTCTTAAGTGAGATCCCTCTGGTTGCTTAACCTTCTCTGTTTTAGGGTTTTCTGTAGCCTTAAGACAAGGCCATAGGAGAGGAATTCCCAGCAGGAAAGGTAGGAAGATAAAACAATCCATCCTGATGTCTCTGAATTCCAGCTGTTACTCTTCATAGGAGATAGGAAACAGGATGTTGCAAACAAAAATCTTGTGTTCCTTTATAATCTTTTTTTACACTTAAATGTCTGTTACATTCCTAAGGCATAAGAAACAAAACAAAATTTGACATTTAAAATAATACCATTTCTTACATAACTGCTAAAGATAGGTAACAATATCTGCATCTGAGACCAAGTGGATAAAAATGTACATTTAATTTCTCTTCCAATTAAGCAACTTGATTTTATTTTGTAGCTCATCAGTAATTGGACTGGAATAATTTTAAATCTATGCTTAGACATCGCTTGTTTAAATTGCAGTCATAAATCTGCCTGAAGGTTGAAAAGTTATTGGAGCAATATTCTTGATTGACGGATGACACTGAGATAGACTTTTTATTATTATTTAATTTCCTTATTTTCTCTGTCTCCGGAAAAACTCAAGGTAATTTGTTAAAATAACAGTTTAGCAGGATAAATAAAAGTCATATATGTCTCCTTTTCATTCAATAGAGCTCAAATTTCTCTCTCAGATTCTCAAAGTATGATATCATATAGTTAATTAACCTATACAAATAAAAATTAGGCTTAAAACCTATACAGTTAATTAAGCTAACATTCTGAAAAGAATTTATGTGCAACATATTTAATTCTTTATAGTTTAAATATATGGTAATAGACTATCCTCAAGAAGTAAAGGTATTTTTAGACAATAAATACAAAAGTATGGTGTTTGAATGAAAATGGCTCAATGCTTATTGTCTTTAAACTGAATGTAAAAACTATGTTCTACAACGTAAATATTAACACGAAAACAGTCATCCTGGGTCTTATATTCAACATGTTCCATTTACCTAAGGCACAGCTTACCAAGTGTCTCTGTCAGAACTTGTAATTCTCAACCTTGTATGTAAATAAATAGCTTTGCATTTCCCACATTTATATAGGGAAAAAATCATTGGAGTTCATGGATTCATTTCTTTGGTTTTCATAAAGAAAAATAATTTGCTGAGTTGTACAGTATCATTTACTACCATATAATCAATAGCAAAGCCATGGCATCTCAGGTTAGAAGGTTGTCTGCATAGTTGTGTTTTGAATATGCTGAAAACATTTTATGAATATCTCTTGAGAGGATTTTTTTTAGAACTTAGATGCTTGTTAAGAAAAGTTGCTGAAAAACACCTAATTAAGAAAGAACACAGGGCTTCTGTGCTCCTTCTGTTGTCCCTTGAAGCAGATGTATTCTGTGAGTAATTTACTTAATGAAGGTCATAAAGGTATTCGGAAGGAGGTGAAAATTCAGGATGAATTTCATCGTTAAGTTGAATATTCAAAATACATACATCTATTCTTTAAATATTAATAAAATATATACTTTGATAAGTAGTTAATAATTTCCTTTATGAGGAGACAGTTTTATAAGTTTGGAAAACTATCATCAGTGCTAATATGAAACATGCTTGTTACAGTTCGACTAATAGTATTTCTGTTAGCTTAATATTATATTTTCATACAGCTAAAAATAGAGAAACTGTAATGAACAGATATCCTGCACTACCCAGTTTTAATAATTGCCAACGTAAGATCAACTTCATATCATACACACCTGAGCACATTTCCTGATAGCAAAACACACTGTACGTATCAGTCATTTTAGTAATTTAAGATATGCATACATACACATGCACATGCACACACATAGTCATCAAGGCTATGTATGTTTTTGTATATACGCACTAGAACAAAACAAAATTGACCAGGCATAGTGCAGCATGCCTGTAATCCCAGCACTGGGCATGCTGAAGCCCAAGAATTGCTTCTATCTGAAGATAGCCTGGGCTACAGGATGAAGTCAAGGTCAGGGTAAATACACAGTGAGTTCCTGTCTTAAAAAAAATGAAATAAAATAAGTCAAATTCAAGCATTCCAATTATCAATAATCTTTAACACAGTCAACTATTTGTCAATGTCATTCAGTCAATCAGTTTCCTTGCTCTTTTTTTTTTTTTTTTCATTTTCTTTCCATTTATGTAGTACATAAAATCATGTGTTAGTGTAGTGTTTCCCACAATCTGAATTTGGTGAACTGGGTCTCTATGTTCTTTATCTAATATACTTCCTAAAAACTGGTAGAGGTTTGATTAGAAGCAAATCAAAATATGTCAAAATCATTACAAAGTTAATGGAGGATAGTTCCTATGGCCTATCATCCTAAAGCTCAGAGATACCTAGAGTTTTTCATATTTTACCTGAATGCTTTGGAGGTCAGTTTTGATACTAAAATTTCTTGATAGATCCACATACTGCCGGTGGATTCATTCATTATGAATTTCCTCCCAAATCTCTTTAAAAAATGTATCTATTATGGATGATCATTGCATATATTGAATACTTCAGTGACAGCATAGCAAGACTCAACAATAAAAAAGAACCATTAAATAATGCTTTAAAAAGCACATATTCTTTGGTATTAAAAACACTTCAGGAGAAATCAAACAAAGATCAGAAAGAAAGACAAGGGTAGCAATATAATTTTTAAATTTTTAATTTTTTATTTTATTTATTTTTTGTACTGGGATCGAACTCATGAGCTCATACTTGCCAGGCAACCACTGATGCCATTGAGTTAAATCCTCAGACCATGCTAGCAATATAATTCTTTAACAAATGAAAAATGTCAATATTGTACGTGTGTGTGTGTGTGTGTGTGTGTGTGTGTGTGTGTGTGTGTGCATTGCACAGGAAACAAAACATTTTAAAAAGAAGAGTAGATTTTGAAAATTTATATCACAAAAATACATATTTTTCTTCAAATCACAACAAAGACCAATCAAAATGAAAAATAACACTTAAGTAGTTTATAACTGAATTACCAAAAATATGAATTCTTAATCATCAGAAATAATGTAAAACTATTGACAGTAGATAGAATACTTGAAATTTTCAGAGAAAACCCTTCCACCTATGATTATATGACCTAAAAAATTAGAGCCATGTATGATAAATGTTAGAGGGTTCATCAGCGATATGTGTTTAACAAATAATGAGATTATCTTCACATGAAGGATGTATGGACCAACAAAAAGTAATAATGCAGAAATATTAAATATGTGGATAAAATAAAAGGATACACTTATTAATATTTTAGAAACCTCATTATACAACATGTCATGAAATAAAAAAATATACAGAACAAAATCCGTGATGATAATGGGACATGTGATGGGATAACAGAAGTGAAAATATTTGTACCTGCTGTTTATATTATAAATGACTATATGACAGTAATTCATGTAGACTCCTGTAATTAAAAAACTCACATTTAATTTACTGGAATATGAACAACAGACAAATTAAAATAAGTAGGAGGAAGACTATTTCAACTGATATTGTATTAATAGAATAACACACAGGGAGTTGGGAGAAACAGTGAATTCAAGCTGTTTAATAGGAAGTACAAAATTAATTACACTATCTAAAATGAGTTAATGAAATTTTATAGATAATGATTACAGATTTTTTCAGTAAGAGTTAAAAATTTAACCCAATTATATACTTCTACCAGAATACTTTTATTTATAAATATACAGATAGATTACATAAATAAGTGTGAAGAGGCATAAATTAAAATCAATAAACTGAAATTGTTGTATTAGTATTTCATGTAAAATCTTGTGATCAAAAATTATATGAAATAACAATGTATAGTTATAAAGATTTAACAGATAAAATCATCATTTAGCCTAAGAGTCTTTGTTTTAACATGGGTAAATGTATTACAACTTTGTAAAATACATGATGCAAAAACTTGCCAAAGCTAAGAAAAAGTAGAAAAACTTATAATTGTACTGGTTTACTGAGCACTGCTCTAATTCAATAAAAAAACTCGGGACAAAAACTAATTATTTCTATTTTTTTTAAAAAATACAATCATTTAATATCAAAAATTTTAAATAAATCTCTGACATCACAGAGAATATTTTCTGATGGCAATAAGCCTTTAAAAAAATCAAAGCAAGACCATAATCATGCACAAACACAACTAAAAATATATACCAAGATTAAAAATTCAGAAAAAGCATGAAATAATCTCAATAAAAAGGGGGAAAAGGAAGTAAATTTAAAAATAAAAATCAATCAAGTAGAAGACTAAAATTACAGGGAAAATTAGTATAAGTTCAATCTTTGAGACCATCCTTAAAATTAATGAATAATTAGTCACAGTAAAGGAAAACATAAACAGGTGCCCCAAACTAACACTGGAAGGAAAGAGAGGCTAACAATGTTTTCTACAAATTCTAAAGAGGGATAGGAGCACAATATAGTGAAAAATATATTATGATGATATGTTTGACAACTTAGATGAAATGTAAAAATAAATTACTAGCTTGATATAAAAATAAAAACTGGAATTGCCACTTTACTAAATATATTTTCTACAAGGCATACTTTTTTTTTTTTGTCTTTTTCGTTTTTATCGGTACCAGGGATCAAACTCATGACCACACACTTACAAAGAAGGTGCTTATGCTGCTGAGCTAAATCACCAGCCCCTAAGGCATACATTTTTAAAAGACCAGATATATTACAATACATAAATAATAAAGAAATAATACCACTCTTAAAGACTTCCAAAAAACAGAAGAGTCAACATTCTCCTACTAATTATAAGAGGCTAGTAAAACACAGTTAACAAAAGTAGAGAGAAATGCCAATTTTAAAATAGTAATAGGTTTCAGAAATATAAAGTGCAGAATCCAGAAAAAGCTAATTGTAAATTAATCTACATATTAATTTTTGAAAATAAATATGTTTTATAAAATCGATTTATACAACAAATGAAAAGGTGATTCTATTTCAGTTTTGAATCAGCCTAATTTCCTACATCAGAATCATACAAGAAAGTTAGATGTAAGAAAGTGTTCAGTAAATTGCGACACCCATATGATAAAAATTCGTAATGGTACTAATACAACACTAGCATTCTTTTGTATGAAACTGACCCATGACATTTTAATGTACAGAATAAATAACTGTCCACTAGCATTAAGAGTGTCTTGATAGCCAGGGTTGATGGGTGCCCTATTACTGCCTT